GGCCCAAACCTCTCCTTCCTTTGGTTATAAGGCAGGAAATTGACTGGCATTGGCTCATCCCCCGTGTTTATTCAATCCTTCACAACGGCCCTGCGAAGTAGGCCTGCAGATTCCCACAGGGAGTTGCATGCTAAGGTTTTTACTGCCAGGATGGTTTAGTTAACAAACCACAGTTCAAAGAACGGATCACTTAACCAATGTTGGTAACCCATCCCTGAGCGAGAGAGGGAAAATGCTTTTAACTCTGCTTTAATTGGCAAAAAGTTGGGGAGGAAGCGTGTTTTCAGAGGCTGCAAGGGAAAAACGCAGAAAAGTAACATTTTCTTACATTTTGGGACGTTCCGCAGGGTTTGGCAAGAAATTTGGGCCTGGAGAATCCCGTGGTGGTGCAAAGCATGTACATCTTCAAGGTACGTGAACACAGCCTTTTCAAAAAAAATATGCAGTTGGGGAATTCATGGAAGTGGGAGGGCTCCTCAGAGACCACCTAGTCCAACCTCCACCCGCAGTGGGAATCCACAGCTTAGAATCCCAGATCCTAAGGCTTGGAAGGCACCACAGAGACAATCTAGTCCAATTCTTTCCCCAAACCAGAAACTCATTATTACTGCAATGGATTAATTTAAAAAAAAAATATATTTTCCCCTTCAGGTTTAATAGTCTTTTTTTAAACTCGTTTTACAGCAACCAGGCATTGGTGGGGAAGGTGAGTTTCTTATTATATGAACTTTCTATTAACTTTTTTCCCCATGGGGGCTGCCCTAGAGATGTTGGACTGCAATTCCCATGGTCCCCTGCAGGAAAGGGAGTGAAAGTCACCATGCTGCTGAGCCTGTTCCTGTTGATCCCCAGACAGTGATACCCCCACTCATCCTGGGGGCATAGAAACTTGTGGGTGTTTTGTAAACTAAGGACCCTAATCACAAATGTGGTCAAATTTACTGTTAAAGTCATCTTAATCAGCATTGCCTCTGAATTGGTAAGTTGTCAAGGATTCACACACTGTACACAGTGTGTGGTTCGGTTGTGAGTTTGTTGATCCATTTTCTCCCGATTGCAATCCAAAGGGAGTCTGCCTGGATTGCACAGAATAAAATAGAAATGTTTTGGGTTTTTTTTTTTTTTTTAGGATTGTTTTGAAGCCAGCTTACTGGACTTTGCGAACCGCGATCTGCAAACAAATTAGGATTGAATTGCAGGGTGACTTCACGTGTCTTCTCTGCTCCTTTCAGTGACGCCACATCAGGATGCGACTTTTCTGTACACAACGCCTTTGGGCAAAGTGACGGGCTTCTGGATCGCTCTGGAAAACGCCACCCAAGAAAATGGCTGTTTGTGGTTCATTCCCGGCTCACATACAGGTAAGGCATGAAGACGCTGAGAATGGCTGCGAGTCGGGTATCCGCTCAAGAAATTAATAAAATCAAAGGGATCCCCTAAAGATCACCCTCCTGATTTGCTTTCCAGCTGGCATCACGCGGCGGATGGTCCGAACTCCCCCTGGGATGATTCCTTGCACCGATTTCATCGGCACTGAGCGAGAGTATGAAAGCAGTCAGTTTGTTCCTGTGCCAGCGAGCAAAGGTAGGCTTGCACCGCTGACAAATCTAAGTGGATCGAGCCACATCTGAAGAATAAGCTGGGGAGGAAAATTAGTTCTCTTCTCATGGAAGGGGAATTGTAATTTGGGGGCCAGGACTGGGACACACAGATATGAGGGGTGCCTAAATCATCATCTATCATCTGCACATCTGTAAGTGTCTGGTTTGGTTCTGCAACCCAACAAGACAGATACAGACTTCAGAGAGGAACTAGGACTGCAGAAAAAACAATTGCTATGAACCTGCCTTCAATCGAGGACCTGTTTGATGAGTCAAAAATATGAAAATATTTACAGACCCCTCACATCCCGGACATAAACTGTTTCAACTCCTTCCCTCAAAACGACGCCATAGAGCCCTGCACACCAGAACAACTAGACACAAGGACAGTTTTTTGTCCCCAACTCCATCACTCCGCTAAACAAATAATTCCCTCAACACTGTCCAACTATTTACAAAGTCTGCACTACTGTCACTATTAATCTTCTCATCACTCTATCACCCATCCCCTCACACTTGTGGCTGTAGGACTGTAACTTTGTCGCTTGTAGCCTAACAATTTATATTGACTGTTTCTTAGTATGATTTGATCGTTTATTTGTACCCTATGACTTTTATTAAGTGTTGGACTTTATGATTCTTGACTCTTGACAAATGTATCTTTTCTCTTATCTACACTTAGAGCATTTGCACCAAGACAAATTCCTCGTGTGTCCAACCACACTTGGCCAATAAAGTATTCTATTCTATTCTATTCTATTCTATTCTATTCTATTCTATTCTATTCTATTCTATTCTATTCTATT